GCTGCATGTATTCTGGAAGAATAGCAGTATTACTCTAGTCTAATGAATACATAATCATTAATATTAGGAAGGAAAGGTAATTTTTGCTACTTGATCCTCCCTGTCTTACCTCAACTCATTCACATAAGAGTTGTGTGAGCTTCTAATATGTAAAGGAGATGAGGAGGTTTATAATATGCTTTAGTCAAACAGATTATTGGTCTCAAAGCAGGGGGTAACTGGGTGAAAATCTATGGTATGTGTTCTACAGGATTCAAACTAAATGATCTAATGGTTCCTTCGGGCCTTAAAAATCTATGTCATTTCCATGTTGATATATTTAACCCACATCATCAGAAAGTGGTACTTGGGTATCTGTGGCAATGTGACCACTGATTTTAGTGCAGATTTTGTATTTCTAAGTCAACAGTGATAGTAAACATTTGTAGGTGGAAGTTATACTGCACAGCTTTAGGCAACACATTAATGGTAACTTTGCACTTCTACAGTGCTTCCCATCCAAGAATCTCAAATCACATTTCAAACATTCATGCATTAAGCTTCCTAACACCCCTTCCAAGATAAAGGAAGTATCTCCATTTTATGAAGAGGAAACTGAGGTGCACACACAGTCAATAGCAAAGGCTGGAATTAGACCCCAGCTCTCTTGCCTCTGTTTCTCCTACCTGTAAATTTGGCCACGGCATCAATATGATGTTTTACTTGTACAGCTAGTTCCCTTGTGGGAGTCAGCACCAGCCCTAAAAGAGGCCTGTTTTTATTCAAGTCAGCAGCACGTTTGTTGGCACCAAAATCAAATTCTACATTTTCCAGCACCTTCACGCAACCTATTGTGCAAGATTCATCTACATCATCATCACCCCGACTATCTTCATCCTGCTTAGGGTTTAGGTGCTTAGGGTTTGTTTCATTATCACTTTCCCATTCTGGTTTGTCTTCATCATCACAGAGAGGCTCTTCAGTAGCATTGTTGCTTCTGCTTTTTGATTCTTGCCACCGTAGCACAGAGTGGATCATTGGAATTGCAAATGCGAGTGTTTTCCCACTTCCTAAAAGCACCAAACAACAACACAGAAACACAAGCATTACAACTGTTTGCAAAGCAGCAGCAGCCAACTGCAGTTATGAAAGTAAATTAAAAATTACTCTTATTTTATTTACTTCTACGGTATAAGTGCACTTTTTTGATTCTATGAAATTAGAAGTCAAGCCACAGCACCTTGGTTTAAATTCCTATAATAGTGACCTCAAGTAGATACTTTTTGGATGGAGCAGGTATTTTTCCAAGCCCCAGATGGGCAGGCAGAATATACATTTGCTAGGAAAGTAGTTTTAAAAAATTGCAATAGCAGCCAAGGTCTTTTTAAAGAACCGTATACCCTAAAGGAGAATACCATGCCCTAATTGGCTGCTCTGATCAATGTTCTCCAATTAAAGGAATAGCAAATGAGGCCAAGGACAAACTGAAAGCTATTTAAAGGATTAATTTCTATTTTTTCATTATGTGATTTTGCTTATTAACTGAGAAACTAAATGTAACCATTATTTCACTTTTTGTAATAAAAAGACCAATCAATCACTTGACTTAACACAGAGCACAAACTAAGGGGGAAAGATGGAAAACTGCTCCACTAAATATAATTTCAGGGTTCAACTGTAGATTCACTCATGGCTGGGGCAGCAAACCTTAATAGTATCTGATATGTAAAGGTCATCTCTAGGGGATGCTTTGGCCAAAAACTGAACCTCTTTAGGGGACCAAAAAAATTAAACAAAACTGTTCATCTAGAGATCCTTTTGTAGCTCTTCGCAGTCTGCCTGGCACTTAATTATCTTGAGTAGTTTTGTATCATCTGCAAATTTTGCCACCTCACTGTTTACACCTTTTTCCAGATCATTTATGAATACGTTGAATAGTACTGGTCCCAGTACAGACCCCTGGGGGACACCACTATTTACCTCTTTCCATTCTGAAAACTGACCACTTATTCCTTCCCTTTGTTTCCGATCTTTAAACCAGTTACTGATCCTGGAGAGCACCTTCCCTCTTATCCCAAAACAGCTAACTTTGCTTAAGAGCCTTTGATGAGGGACCTTGTCAAAGGCCTTCTGAAATTCTAAGTACATTATGTCCACTGGATCCCCCTTGTCCATGTTTGTTGACCCCCCTCAAAGAATCCTAGTAGATTGGTGAGGCATGATTTCCCTTTACAAAAAACATGTTGATTCTTCCCCAACAAGTCATGTTCATTTATGTGTCTGATGATTCTGTGCCCCAGAACTCCCCACAGCTGATCTCCCTATGGATATACCTGGCTAACCAATCCCTGCAAGTTCCCTTATGCTGCTGCCAGTAAGGGAAACAGAGCAGTGTCTCATCAATCCCTTTCTTCCCTCAGGCCCAACCTTAGCATACTGGATGTTTCAGAGGCAAGCAAATTCCTACTCCATGCACAATACACCAGACCCAATACGTACCAATATGTATAGGTCAACATTGGGAATGGGATAACTAGACTGGAAGTACTACTGGCTGTTCTGCTATGGCAAAGACACAGTGTTCTTCAGGGACAAATTCTGCTCTCATTTACACCTTCGCAACCCCATTGGTTTCAATTGGATTGTATGGGTGTCTAATTATGGCCTACTCTTTAAGAATAATTCAAAATAAGCCTTGTTGATAAGCATGGATGGGGAAGAAGTGGAGGATTTAAAGCTTTGCATGTAGTACTTGTGAACAGGCATAGTATGTAATATAAATGCACTACATTTAATCTTTTCTACATCATAACTATGCATAGTAAACACACCCATTCAATGTGCTGAAGCTTATATGCTCTTCACACCGTTACTGCAATTGTGACAATACACTGCGTGTTTTAAAAGGGAGAACGGGAGATTCAGTGTACTAATAGAATGGATTTGTACCTGTTTCTGCAGCACCAAGAACATCCATATTATCTCTGATTGCAGAAGGCAGGGCTAATGCTTGAATAGGAGTTGGAGCACTAAATCCTAGATAGCTCAAGGCCTGCAGAACCGGCTTAGGAACAAAGAGGTCTTTCCATGCAGACACATCTGTTTTTTGATCAGATGAGGCAGATAGAACTCCTGTGGTCCAATTTTTAACCTTTTTAGAAGACTTTGCTGGTAGAGGAGCTTTCTCAGATGGAAACACTTTCTTTTTCACTTTCTTTTTTTTCTTTTTCTTCGAAGTTTTTTCTGTGGTTGTGGTGCCTCCTGATTCACATTCATCTTCCTCATAACCACACAACTTGATAGTGTCTTTAGGCTTGTCCTCCTGATCAATTACCATTTCATCTTGCTTCACTTTAAGGTTATAATTTTTACTTGCCCTTGTTCCCAGCTCTTTCTCTTTCTTTCTCTTTTTTTTCTGGATGGTAGAATCTTCTTCCTCCTCTTCAGAAACACTATCAGATTTTCTCTTCTTTTCTTTTTCTTTTCCAATTTTGGAAGAATTCACCAATTTATAATCTGTAAGCTCCTCAAAACACACTAAATCTCCAAGCTGCTCATCAGCAAACAGATTTGGGTCAATTTCTATGGGTTTCCATTTTCCTACTACTTTGATACCCTTTTGTTTCAATTTAAAGGAAGTCTTAAACTTATTTCTTGTCTTCATGATTATCTAAAAAAAATCAGAAAATAAACCATTGTAAGCCACCAGAACAAAACAGTGACAGTCAAGTTAACATACCCATAAACGCTGGAGTGCATTTGTGTAAATCTGATAGGCTAGTCTGTTGCAGCTAACTGCAGTTTGTCTCTGGATTCTAGCCTATTAACCTTATTGACTGACTTTCACTGTGCTGGATTGGGCCCTCTGTTTGGTTTTTGCACTTTTAAAAACACTTGCAACTCTAACCTCACACAGCTATTTGAGAAATGAATTTTAATTACTTAAATTGCATTTGAAATGACAGGCCTATTTAAAATTATTTGTCAGGCTCCTGTTGAAAAATGGATGAGATAGCTAAGCAATATCAAAGCCCTGATGCCAGACTGTCAAACCAGCTTCTGTTGCGCTTCTTTTTATTAATTTGACATTTTTAGAATTTAGTGCTGAAAACTCTTCTGAGGGTCACACAAAATGGAAAGTAGGCTGCAGCCTGATATTGGGGTTCCTCTACTGCTGTTTCATAAATAACATCCTTTTTACTAGAATGCTGTTCATTTACGGTAGGCTCATTTATGACCACAGTTAACTATTTGAATTTTTTATGTCCCCTTGAGATAAAGTGATTTATCTCACTAAAACAGCATAATGGGCAGGACACTATGCTCTACTTTAAAGAGAGAATCCTGTACCCCTCCCTTCCAGTTCCTCTGAAGAGCTGCCTTTCCTTTAGCAAAATGGAGTGGGGGTATTCTGAACACATGGCAACCGGATCTAGTTATTGAAATGAGAGCTGCATAATTTGTGGAGGATTCCTTCCCTTCTCCAATTCTCAGAAAGTACCCCACACACACACTACAAAATAAGTATGTATGTGAGCAGTTTCCCCTTGTGTATGTGCTTAAGTTTTATTGCTGGTTTTGAAAGTTTGACCCTCAACATCTTGACCTGGAGGGCAACTACTGCACCATTATATTATTAGAAAGTATGTACCAGTTAAATGCTAAGTTCAACTATACTGTATGTTGGTTAGATCACTGAGGTGATGAAGAATGGCTTTGGAACGTGAAAAGTCACTGGGTAATGCTTTTATTTAGGGGATAGAGAGGCAAAAAGATCTGGGAAGCTGGCAGGTGGAAGGAAGCACTGGGCAGCATTGGAGGCAGCCAACGGCTGTTGCGTTGGCATCTTCCCACAGGGTAGATCTGAGCACGGCTTCTGCCCTGCTTTAACTATATAATTTGAGGAAGTGTCAGAGCCCCTGGTGTGAATGCCCCCGTATAAACGTGTTCACACTATAGCGTTGTACCCCTTTAACTGTGTCCACTGCCACACCAATGTACAGGGGGAAGCATTGGCTGGAGACAAAAACAGGACAGCACTGCACGCTGCACACGCCCGCCCCAGGCGCTGATCTGCCGCTCGGGAGAAGTCGCTACTCAGAGCGCTCACTCAGGCTGCTTCTCAGGGCGCCGGACAACAGCAGCTCAGCGCCCACCGGCCTGAGGGCGAGCGGTGGGTCCCCCCCTCTCGGCGATGGGGGCTGGGCGCAGGAGCCGGGCCCCACAGCAGGAGCCGAACGCGGGCAGATTTAGAAGGGGGAGGGGCGGCGGCGTGAAGGAGCCGGGCGAACGGCCTCCTCGCGTGGGGAGTTGGGCAGTGCCCACGAGCCCGGCCGCCGGGAAGGGAGCAGGGCTGCCCTTTACCCCCCGCCTGCCGGGCTGGGCATCCCTTGGGGTCCCGGCGTGCCCCGGCCCGCTCTCCCCACCAGGCCGGACGCCCTCACGCCTGCGTCTCCCTCCGGCTTCTGGGCCCGTTCTCTTCTCCCCCGCCCCCCCGAACGCCGCAGGCAGGTCGGAGCAGGAGCGGCTGCCACCGGCCGTGCCCTAAGCCTCGCCCCAGCTGCCTCCCGCGACCCCGAGCGGGCCCTCACCGTCACCGCCACCGCCTGCTGCTACTCTCCGCTGCAGGAGCCCGTCGCGCTCTACCACGTGAGGACACAGCCGGGCGCGGCCATGACAGCCGTGACGTCACTGCCCTGCGCCCGCCCCCTTCAAACCGGCGGGAGGGGGGGGAGTTCGCAGCCTGGTGAGGGTGTCCGGGCCAGGCCGCGGGGTTGGGCCTGGTGAGGGTGTCCGGGCCAGGCCGCGGGGTTGGGCCTGGTGAGGGTGTCCGGGCCAGGCCGCGGGGTTGAAGGGAACTGGGCCTGCGCCAGGGGAGAGACAAGGGGGATGAGGTGATATATTTTATTGGGCCAGCTTCAGTTGGGGGTGGGTACAAGCGTTTGATCTGCCCAGGGCTCATCTGTAGGTCTGGAGAAGGACCTTGGCCTGTGTGAGCTAAACACAGAGTGGTGCAGATTGTGAAGCATCAGGCATAACAGGTCTGGTAGGAGGCGGTAAGGAAATGGAGCGGGTGGAAAGGGTTAGTTTGCAAAGGGGTTTGAAGTGGGCCGTTGAGGGTTAGCAGGCAAGTGTGTGTTACAACTTGTGGTTATGAGCCATGAAACCAGCATCTTGCTTGAGTTCATGATTTTTAGTGTCCAACAGAGTTATGAATTTAAGTTCCTAGTTTTGCCTTTTGGAAGTGATGTGTAGGTTTGCAGACCACAGTTTGAGAACCTCTGCAATAGAAGACATTTTTGTGTGTGTCTGTATTGTTACAAAAAGAAAAGGAGTACTTGTGGCACCTTAGAGACTAACCAATTTATTTGAGTATGAGCTTTCGTGAGCTACAACTCACTTGAGCTGTAGCTCATGAAAGCTCATGCTCAAATAAATTGGTTAGTCTCTAAGGTGCCACAAGTACTCCTTTTTCTTTTTGCGAATACAGACTAACACGGCTGTTACTCTGAAACCTGTATTGTTACAGATACACTTGCTGACATTTATTTTTAAATAAATTACCAAAATAATTGAAATTGGTGTGATTATATAGTGTTATTTTGACATAAATTCTGCACACAATATTTTAAAATTCTGCAAAATTTTTAAATTTTTGGCATGGAATTTTTAATTTTTGGTTCAGAATTCTCCCAGGAGTATTTACTCCAAAGATATCCACAGAGCAGTGGACTGAGATTCTCAATGTCCACCAGGAATGTAGTTACATAGCTCCTATTAACTTCAGTGGGGACTGTGTGACTAAACCCTTTAGTCAGCTATGACAGTCTCAACTGGGAGGCTTGGACCAAATAATGCTTTGTCCGAAGCAATGAAGAGCTGGTGCAAAGCCTGAACTTGAGTTGAATGTGTGATCTAATGACGCCAACCATAAAGAAATAGGGTTGAGGATAAAGAGTAGAATAAGGGGTCTGGAGAAGTAGCAGGGAAGAAGGGTTCAGGTTGCCTACTTTGCCAGCTGCCAGTGTGGAAAAATATTATCTTGGTAGTAGATGACGTCTTATGCATGCTGATTAATGAATGTGTAGGCAGCCAGTTGTTGGAAAAACACTCTAGTAGTGACTGTAGGGCAGGTCAGTTTACAGGCTACGTACATTGGTAGGAAAGTCTTTGTGATTCAATAATTTCTAGTTTCAGAGATGCTGTCTACAAGGCATATCCATCTACAGTGAACAAACATACGGATTATAACAATTACAGAACACTTGTTTCAGAGGAACAGCCGTGTTAGTCTGTATTCGCAAAAAGAAAAGGAGTACTTGTGGCACCTTAGAGACTAACCAATTTATTTGAGCATGAGCTTTCGTGAGCTACAGCTCACTTCATCAGAACACTTGTGCTGACCTCTTCTGTACTTACGTGAATGCTCTCATATTACCTACGTTCTCAGGGTGAGATTTCCAGTCATTCATCATTTAGTTAATTTCATTCATACTTGATGGGTATAAATGTAGATGAGGATTATTTACACACCACCTTTGAAGTTTAGCTCTTTTTGAATTATTGTTTACATAGGGGTGGGAAAACTTAGTGCAGCTGGTTAAATATTTTTTCTACATCATCATAACTGAAACAGCTGATGGCATTTTGTAGAGAGGGATCAGTTGTAAAATTTGGACACACTTAAAAAAAAACGGGAGAGGAAGAATGAGGGGAAGTTTGAGATCTGAAGTATTGATTCAGCCTATCTTCAGTTTAAATATAAATATCTTCAGTAAAGAAGTGTGACAAGAAAAAATTATGAAAGTATATTGATTTTTTTTTAAACTTGCCTGTTATCTTTGAAAGTATTTCCCAGTATGATGGTCTATGTAGTAGCAGGAGAGCCTGAGACATATGCCCTTGTAGTAGAGGCCTGGCATGAGGCAGGACCTGCTTACAGAATTTGGCAAGAACAGGGCTGATATTGAAGAAATATATATTCCTAAGAAGTGCTAGTCACAGAGTGCTCATGCAAACACATCCCAATATTAAATGGTATCAGAACATCCCAATATCAACGATGGTACAAAAACATTACCCAAGGATAACAGAAACACACTGACGCCTCCTAAAAGATAAGGCCAGGATGACAGTACATAGTAGAGATGTTTTCATTGAACCAACATGTACAAAATGATGGGTAATAACTAGCAATGGCAGGGGGAAGTAACTAACTAACTATGTCAAAGAGGCAGTACTAACTTGTTTGTATGGGGGTATAAAAATGTATTTCAGAGGGAGTATCTTGTCAGGGCTTGTCTGGGAGGAATGGAAAGTCCCACCATTCACTGAGCTGATCCATTGTTATGGGCACACATGTATTAGTGGTCCTGTAAAGCCTACAGGATAATAGTACCATGCTTTGTCAACAATAAACCTGCCTGCGTGCCTTCGTCCCTTAACGGGTCTTGTGGTCATTGGGTGGTTCGCTTGAGGTCTGCTGTGCCAGCTATCTGTGCAGGGCTGGGGTGGCACACAGTGGGAACACACCCATGCAGCCAAACCTCTATCAACATTTAACCACAGTCTAAGAGAGAGGCTATTGTGTAGTCTTGTAGTAACAGGACAAATGGGGGAGAGGGTAGAGAGAAACAAAGAAGAACATTTTACCCAGATTATCATTTAACTATGGCATACCCGTAAGCCTCTGCACCACACCACATGTAAACTTAAGGCAGTTGTAAGAGGGGTGGTTTGTTTTTTTCAGCTGACACCCCAAAGTTGCAGTTTTCTCCCTCAGGATATGATTTAATGCAATCGCTGGGAAATTAGAAGAAATGTGGTAGTGTAGTCACACCATAGTCTCCAATTCAGGAAAGCGTGTAGACATGTGCTTAACTTTTAACCATGTTCTTATGTTTTCCTGAATCAAGGCCTTAGATACTGTGGTGGTAGGTGCTATGTAACTACCTAAAATAATCTGCAGGATACAAGCCACTGTCTTCACTTAAAGTTTCCAGTCCAGTGGAGAGAATAGGCCAGTGCAAGGACAGTACAGGTTTTCCCGCACCACTTAGCAAACATGCCTTGATCTAGATCTGAAGAGAACACCCCTGAGTAGGAAAGGACACTTCGGACTCCATCCCTATTCAGTTGTTTGGCTTTTCCACTGAGATCGCCAACAAGACTGCTGGTTAATTTTAGTTGTGATGATGGAATTTGTGATGGGGCACCTGCTTACTGAGTTGAGGCCACCAAATTACTTCTCATAGTTGGAGAGTAACAGTTGCTGTTCACTATCAATTTAGGTGAGAATGAAAAGGAAATATACCATTTAAACAACCATTTAAACAGCTTGCAATTCAGTCTGGCTTATTTTTAGTAATAAAGCTAAACTGGGGGCAAGAAAAAGACACCCCTTTTTCTGATCAGGTACAGTCTGCATCTGTCAAAAGCCTGTGAGCACCTAAGGTGCTGTCTGCATAAATAGGAAGTAGCTCTGATGCAGTACTGCAATACAGCAGAGGAAGCCATATGCAAATCTGTTTACCTTTGGTATTTTTATTATGTAAGAAGCTTTTCAAAACCCACAGTGTGTGTGCGTGTGTGTATAATATTTAAAAAACCTTCCATCCACCATTAAGAAAGCATGCATAAAGGGCTCTTTGGATCTAGTATCTAACATCAGCAATACTATGAGTGTAAATGTCACCAGAACCGCTCCTGCAACGACAGCCGTGTTATTTGCGCTTACTTTTCTATTACTCAGTTCTTTACCTATTGTGCTGCATTTAAAAGAGTGTCATGGACAAAGTAACATGATTTGAAGAAATAACTGTAGATGAAAAGCATACCACAGAGGTCACAGTGTGCTATTTTCTCCCCTATGTGATCAAGTGCTCTTTGCAGGTTGGCAAGGAAAAAGTACTTATAAATTCTCTGTTATAATAATAGAAGATTTTTAGTTCTACTTGAAGATTGGCAGATGGTCGGAACAGCTTCTTTTGCTATGAGACATGCAGACAGATAGAAAACAGGAGGTTTCTGGGTGGGAGAGACCCGGGCTAGAAAGTGAAGCACAATTATTGCAACGATTGTGATTATTTCCTCTCAGCGGTGTCTGCAGGTGCTTGTTGGCTATAGTTAGAGGACTAGAATACTAGAGGATTATTTTTGAATACATAGTGGCAA